TTTATGGCCTTATTTTTCGAAAAATGATCTACATGCAACTTTCTAGAAATTGGTTAAATAAAGTTAAATTAGATAAAGTTTAAACAAAAGGATTTTATTATCATAGACATGAATACAAAAAAGTTAAATTAGATAAAGTTTAAACAAAAGGATTTTATTATCATAGACATGAATACAAAAAAGATGGCGCGTAACGGAAAAATGTGACGCGTAACCGAAAAATGTGACGGTAAATTTTTTTCCAACGCCGATAAGGAAGTTTCACTTCAAAAAAGCGTTTTACGAATAGTTTGTATTTAAAGTATTGAGCGTTGCGTCGTCCCACAGAGCGGCTGGAGGCGGCGGCGGCGCGGCGCGGGGCGGGCGGCGCCGAGCTGCCCGAGCTCAAGAAGGAGCTGGTCGCCGTCTTCAACGACAGGTTCACGGACCAGCTGCTCGACGTCGCCAAGGTGAGCCGCAGCAACCCTCATATATATACTTTCATCGAGTCGTCGTGGCCTAACGGATAAGATGTCCGGTGCATTCGTATCTAGCGATGCAACGATGTTCGAATCTCATACGGATATCCATTTTTCTAATGAAATACTTACTCAACAAATTTTCACGATTGATTTCCACGGTGAAGGAATAACATCGTGTAATAAAAATTAAACCCGCAAAATTATAATTTGCGTAATTACTGGTGGTAGGACCGCTTGTGAGTCCGCGCGGGTAGGTACTACCACCCTGCCTATTTCTGCCGTGAAGCAGTAATGCGTTTCGATTTGAAGGGTAGGGCAGCCGTTGTAACTACCTATACTTGAGACCTTAGAACCTATATCTCAAGGTGGGTGGCACATTTACTTTGTAGATGTCTATGGGCTCCAGTAACCACTTAACACCAGGTGGGCTGTGAGCTCGTCCAACCACCTAAGCAATAAAAAAAATTACCACCAATCGAGAACTGAACCGAATAATTTTTATTGTTCAAATGGTGGACTAGCTCACGGTCTACCCGGTGTTAAATTATCGGAGCCCATAGACATCAACAATTGCCGCCACCCACAACAACAAATGAGGTCGAAGTCTCAGTTCTATAGTACAACGGCTGCTACGGGTGCGGCTCCCCGCTGGGACCGCACGTAGCACGTTACCCCCCGTGTCGCAGAACCAGCCGGCGATGAACAGGAACTTCTTGGAGGTGCTGGTGAAGGACATCAAGAGCATGGTGCAGTTCTCGCCGCTGTGAGGCCGCCGTGAGGCCGCGCCAGAGGAACCTTTGTATCTACGATCAATAAATTAATTTTTGTACGTACTTGTTTTGTTTTTATTTGCGAGCGCTGATTTTCCTTGTCCCATCGTATCTAGGATCTCTTCTACGCATGCAGTAGGTATATTTTCTTCACAATAATTAATTTTAATCGTCCTATACTGTCACAATGCGGATACGGGAACTCTTAAAAAAATATTGTGATCGATACTGAGTTTAATGAAATAAAAAGGTATTTGTTTGACCTGGCAACTTAGACCTTTAGGCCAAGTCTTATTTTAATTTATATTTTTAGTTTTATGAAAAATGATAATAATATGGAGTGAAATGAAATGAAATGAAGATGATTAATTTGAGCCATTAATCAGCTGGGATGAAATTAAATGAAATGAGATGATATGGGATGAAATATAATCTCAGTAAAATGGTGCTCATTTACTGAGACCTTTTCAGTGGACTTTTTGTAGAATCCCAAGAAGTTACGTCCAGCTTTGTTCCATTTTCCCATATTGGTGCACTTTCACAGATATTAAACAGTTAATAAACCATTATTACACACTTAAACCTGAAGAAACACTAAATAAACAAAATAAAACAAATCACACAACTTCACTCCTCACGTTTCCGCCAAAAAGTCAAAATAAAAAGGTTTAAAAGAACTGATACAGATTGTACATACTTCCATTACAAAAACCAAGTCTACTCTGTACTAGTTTTATATAATAGATTGCTTTATAATAAGACAATGCATCACGGACTGTTTTAATCTGCATTTTTATTTATATTGTGTTGGTATTGTGTAAATTTCATAAAAGTCAGGGTTGGCACTTTTTTAATTTAGGTACAACCTTCTAAGAGTATTGGGATACTTGGGGTCCACATTTCGAGCGATGTCCAGTTTCATAGTCATTTGGAAGGCAAAGCCAAGTTGGCGTCCAAAATGCTGGGGGTCCTCAACAGAGCGAAGCGGTACTTCACGCCTGGACAAAGGCTTTTGCTTTATAAAGCACAAGTCCGGCCTCGCTTAGAGCACTGCTCCCATCTCTGGGCCGGGGCTCCCAAATACCAGCTTCTTCCATTTGACTCCATACAGAGGAGGGCCGTTCAGATTGTCGATAATCCCATTCTCACGAATCGTTTGGAACCTCTGGGTCTGCGGAGGGACTTCGGTTCCCTCTGTATTTTGTACCGTATGTTCCATGGGGAGTGCTCTGAGGAATTGTTCGAGATGATACCCGACATCTCGTTTTTACCATCGCACCGCCCGCCGCCGGAGTAGAGTTCATCCATACTACCTGGAGCCACTACGTTCATCCACAGTGCGTTTCCAGAGATCTTTTTTGCCACGTACCATCCGGCTATGGAATGAGCTCCCCTCCACGGTGTTTCCCGCGCGCTATGACATGTCCTTCTTCAAACGAGGCTTGTGGAGAGTATTAAGCGGTAAGCAGCGGCTTGGCTCTGCCCCTGGCATTGCCGACGTCCATGAGCGACGGTAACCACTCACCACCAGGGGGGCCGTATGCTCATCTGCCTATACGGCAATAAAAAAAATATTAAACATGTCAATTGATTGTTAACTTTTTGGATGGTCAGAGCTACAAGGTGGTGTCGATAGTTGCTGCTGATTGAATGAAATGATTTCCTTTTTTATCTAATACTATCCTTAAAAATAATTCAACTAATTCAATTCAAAATAATTCAGTATAATCCCTTTACCGAAGTTAAAAAAAAAAACAAAAAAAAGTATGAAATAAATTATACAATCGCAACCTTGAGTGTATAGAATTTTTTTTTACATTTACCAATTAAACTCTGTAATTGTTTTTTCATCACACAGATAAGAATGTGAATATCTTATGTTAGAAGCTTAACACGTTCACTGCCAATGCGGGCAATGTTGCGCCATGATAATATACGCTATCAAGCTAAGTAAAAATCCTAATTTTTATAATTTTTCACACATTGATTTTATTCACTACTAGCAACCCACCCTCGCTTCGCTTCGGAAACATTAAATTTTATTATTGATATCTGAGTCCCGCGATGCTAAAAAAGTAGCCTAAGTTACTCCTTATATCATCAGCTACCTGTCAGTGAAAGTCCCGTCAAAATCGGTCCAGCCGTTCCAGAGATTAGCCGGAACAAACAGACAGACAGACAAATTGTAAAAAATGTTATTTTGGTGTATGTACCGTATATATATTCATATCCATGTAGTAAAAAGAGGCTATTTCAATATTACAAACAGACACTCCAATTTTATTTACATGTATCGATATAGCCATCATATTTACTTAAATAACGTGTTTTAACACTATAGTTATAAAAAAAACAAAATAGAACAGAATTAAAATTACTTTTTTACCTATTTTAATAAAGTCTCATCTTTCCACCTTTCCAACGACTCCCTTAACGGCTTTAGTGTGATACTTGTGCTTGTTTCACGGAGCTGAGTGTTTTGATATATAATTACAAATCAGGAACTTACGAAACTTACTCGTTTCTCTCTGTTTCCCTCATTACCAATATAGTTTTCGTTTCGACCCCAATTTGACCCCACGACCCCGCGACCCTTTGGGTGCGCTGCTCTACACGCGACCGTTCGTGGGTAACCCTGATCTCGCGGATTGCTTAGGACGTTTCGTAGTACGCGGAGACTGATTCTGGCGGTATTTCGTTTTGCGTTCCGTTGGAAGTGCTCAAAGTAAATAAGACAATCCTGCTATGATCCCCTAATTACGATTGTACCATCCGTCATTAGAGCACAGTTCATTTAGATTACCAGAAACAGTCGAGCTCATCCACAGTGCGTCTGCAGATAACATTTTTACTGTGGCCTGCCATCAGGAAGAAAATTCATTCCGTGGCCTTTCCTGAGCGTTATTGCATGTCCATATTTAAGGTAAGTGTAGTTTTCCTGGGTAACTGGAGATCACTGTGAGAAGGTCGCTCCTCACCCAGAGGTGATAGGATAGATATCCTTAATACCTACATAAAATAGTGTCGTTTGTTAAATATGCCTGAAAATATATGAAAAGTTAGGTACTCTAGGACTTAGAGGTCGCGGCATAGTCACGTGATTGGCATGTTATTACTGTCGACTGCTTAATGAAATCCAAACATCGACCTTATCGTCATTAAGCAGGCCATTGTACAGGCTTTAGTGGCGTTTAAATACGCGTTATATGAACTGCTTGAAACAGGTCGCCGTCAGCTCATGAAGCTTTGTATAATCTACCTACAGCTAAAACGCCTTAAACAAGACAGGTAGATACCGCAAAGCCTACCCTTTGGACTAATCGTCGATCAACATTAGTCAAGGAAATCACCTGATTTCTGCCCTCCACTGTGGATGACGGGCAGGGAATGTCGGAGTCGAACCGATTAAAAACCTTCTGCCGCTCAACAACCTACGTTCGAACCTCGCATAAGATAGAATTCATGAAAAAGCAAAGGTGAAAAGTGAAGAGCTTAGTGCGGAACACACCTCTCCCAATCACCCTCCTCCTTAGGACGCCAGACCGGCGGTCATCGGGGCCACGACCACCGGCCCTCTCGGTCGGCAGGCTATCCGAAACTCGCCTAGATGGTGCCGTTAGAGTGGGTTATCCTACGGAATACCCCGCTGGGTCAGTACCAACGTGGGTCGAGGATAGCTGGCCTTCCATCACCCGGATGTTCTTGCGTAAAACGCGTGCAGAGGAGCTTGCACGTCGTCTTCTTAGGCCCCCCTTGCCGGTTCCCAAACCGACATGTGAGGGGGACCCGAAACACTTAGAGGACCAGGGCTTGTGAGTCTCTCACGCGCCCCGCTGCTTCTTTCTGCGAGATGGTGCACTCGCAGAAGTCGAGCATCGCCTTCCACGACTCATCGTCGCCGAGCATCGATGCCACAACACTCGGCAACGACAAGTCGTTTCCTATTTTTGCGACGACGACACGGCGCCACCCCTCCCATGCGGGACAGGCGACGAGCGTATGCTCCGCCGTGTTCAAGTCGCAACCACAATGGTGGCACTCTGCCGTCGGCTCGGCTTCGATCCGGTGCAGGAACTCACCGAATCATTCTAGAGCGTCTAGCAACTGTATAATGTTTGAGTTAAGGAGCATAAGAAGCGAGTAAAAATACAGAAATATAAAGAGAACAAATTGAGTAATAATATTTAGTACCTAATTAAAATTTCTTTTTTCGGTGTATGCTGTTTTGGATCAAATATTAAAATGAAAAGAAGTGAAAAATACGAAATAACCACATACTTTCCTGTTGATAGAAATTATTCAAAACACAAGTTTTAGATTCTCAAAGTTCAAGTCCCGTTACAAAGCTCCGGGCATTCTATCAATTTAATTGGAGGTCCGCGCCAGGCCTCTTTACCCCGCTTAACTTTTCGATTTACATTCAAAACGGCCTTTAAAAATCCAACTCAATAAACCGCAGTTTCAATGCGTACTTTACGAATCATCCGAGTGTGAAACTTTGAGCGGCTGCGACCATTGGCAGAGGCCCGGTAGGAGGAGCCTAGGAGCCACGCCTGCTGTTCCCTGCGCATGCTAAACGCGTTTAAACCCCGTTTAAGCGGTATTTTGGCGCAAAACCGCAAGAAAATGTAGGTAACCACCGCCGGGGGTAGGGCGTAGCTAAATGAAAAGATTTTTCTCGATTGAACGACGATTTTCGAACATGGCGGGCAGTCGGCGGGAACGCGCGGGAAAGTGCACGGCCACTTGTTCTGAATCCAAAATATTGACAAATTTTAATAATAATACATTACAAATATATCCACAGATAAGTTTAAAGTATCAAAATGAAAAATTGATTTAAAGTTTTAATTGTAAAACTTTCGAAAGATGTGAGATGTGACTTGATAACTTTTCGTAAAGTTTGGCAATTGACTCGAGGATGGACAGCCACAAGTCTTTCCTTATAAAGGATCTGCTTGGGGACGTGCTGAGGCCGGGAGCCGCGGGTGCAATAATAGGTAGGTCGGGATTTTATAAACAATTATCAATTAAATTTAAATATAAATAAATTGTCTTGTAAGTTCAGAATGTGTACCGTTGACAGGAAATAAACAAACCTCTTTGCTAAATACTGCCATATCTTTCACGACAAATATATCAAAAACTTAGATCATCCAGATAGTTTTATTGTGGATAGAATTTTTTACGGTAGGCAGCGGCCTTAGCTGTGCTCCAGCGTTGCTGGTGCTGGCGCTGGACGTATGGTAACCACTTACCATCTGGGGGGGTGTAAGTTCATCTATTTTCAACAGTAAAAAATGGAACAGGTGGTTTATGAGAATAACCACTTTTAAAAGATTTTTTCTTAAATTTTGTTTTTATTTCTTAGGTGTGTGGATGAGCTCACGGCCCACCTGGTGTTAAGTGGTTACCGGAGCCCATAGACATCTACAACGTAAATGCCGCCACTCACCTTGAGACATGAGTTGTAAGGTCTCACTTTTAAAAGTACGCATTTTAGGCATTGTTGACGTCCATGAGCGACGGTAACCACTCACCATCAGGTGAGCCGTATGCTCGTCTGCCTATACGGCAATAAAAATATAAAACGGCTGCCTCGCATTTCGAACTGAAACGCATTACTGCTTAGCGGCAGAAATTAGCAGAGTGGTGGTACCTACCCGTGCCGACTTACAAGACGTCCTATCACCAATAATTACGCAAATTATAATTTTGCGGGTTTGATTTTTGTAACTTTCTCGATATAGAGAACGTTACAAAACTCGCACTAAGCACACAGGTCACTATAGTCTACACGTCTCAAAGTCAGTGGCTGCATTCCCATTATGATCTGCGATGGTCAAGTGAAGAAAAGTTAGAATTATTTGACACTATTTGTGACTCGCGGATTGACCCACTTTTCGATTTTCACCCACTGCGGAAAGTTGTTTAAATTTCAAATCATCCCTAGCAAACAGGCTATTTAATTCAGAAACAGCTTATGTTAACAGAGCGGTATGTACTTTGGTGGCGATCCTCAGCTATGAGGGAATGATAAAGAAGAAGAATATGCTTTCTTAGATTGGCCCATTTAATAGCATGGTGGGTATAGTAAGTATTCCATAATAGGTACTTCATTAGTTGTATGGGTATGCAAAGAGAACGGTAATAGACGCGGTCAAGCAAAATTTAAAACAGGCGCATATTTCACGAGGCTTCATTTTCCCGTAAAAAATAATATGATGGTGTTGATATACGGAATGTGTTTAAATGATTTATGATTTTTGGTAATACTATTGTGGCGGGTAGCCATCATACAATCCAAGATATTTGACAGATGCCTGAATCTCGCTTACGACATTTTCAAGATAAGCTCGCATATATAAAAGTTCCGAACAACAACATTTGGACAGCCTGATCCATTAACGGTGCTTTTAGGCACCATAAGCACCGGTCACCGTCTTCGTCGAACCCGTCGCTTGCGACGAAGGGCTCGACGAGCGAATTAGCCCACAGACACAGCACACTGAGTTTCTCGACGGATCTTCTCAGTGGGTCGCGTTTCCGATCCGGTGGTAGATTCTGCGAAGCACTGCTCTTGCTAGGGTCAGTGTTAGCAACTCTCCGGTTGAGCCCCGCGAGCTCACCTACAAACGTTAGGGTGAAGTTGAAATAGCCTCTCAAGGCTATCAGCATAGGTAGGAAAAAAAAAACAAACAACATTCGGACCGTCGTTCTACCGAGCAATATCACCCGCTCGGTGGAAGATCTCACCTTTGTCGTATACCTACACTAGTGCTATAGATCGGTTATTGATTTTTTAGGTCTTTTATTTAGGTCGAGACTTTCAGAATAAACAAGAAACCACACAGAAATACGCGCGTAAACGATTTTCGCAATTGCAACAAAACTTTTAGGCATACACAAACAATAGAAGACTGAAGGAATTAAAGTTCGCCGGATAATGTTAAGTAATTTTTTTTTTAGTTATAACCATTATTTTCACTCGCTTACATGAGCATGTTAGATCTCTAGATACAGATACAGCCGCCGTGGTCACATGGACGTGATTGGAGAACACACAATCATGTCATAAGTCTTAACCCATTGGTTTTCTCGCTCGATATTTTCAGTGGGGGAGGCTGAGCCTTGTGAGTTTGTTCACTGGTCACGGTGAAGCCGGATTAGCCTCTCGAGGCAAAAAAAGTCATAGTTTGTTAATATTTTTGTCTGTCAAGCGAGTAGGTACTGTTATGAATTACTAATCATATGCGATATTGTGTGTCGAGATTGCTAGACTTGTTGTCACCAATATATTTTTTTCTCAGCTCATTATATTCTTTAAAAGGATTTTGCTCTGTGAAATGAACGACATTTCTATCATCTCCACAAGATTACTGTCTTTCTTTTCCCCTACCTTGTAGGATAGGGCTGGTACCCTAACGGGCTATACCTACGGGCCAATTACGCCCAATCGGACTTCCTCTATCTAGGAACACGCCGGTCCGGCGTCTGGGAATATAATATGCTCTGCGTCAACCCGTACCGTTAGATACGTAACAAAGCGCTACGCACCGTTGAAAATCATAGTTTTTCAGCATTGCAAATGATTGGCTATTTTTTTATACAACCAATTCTTTTCGAGATGTTTTATTATTACATCCCTTGAGAATTTCCTACAACTGGTGAAGCAATCACCGTTAAAAATTTTAGAGCGCTAAATGGCGCCAAAATTATACGACCACAGAGTCACAGGGCCTTCTATTTAAATTTGAATTAAAAACTAAACTATTCAGCTTTTTCAACTATGAGACCAGCCAGTAAGTAGTAACACTAGATTTAGATCTAATGTATATGTATATGTATAAAGTTTAACTACGTTTATATTTATTTGTAGTCTGTTATGTATATTGCCAGTACCTACGAAAAAGTTTTTCGAACCCTTAAAAATAGAAAAAATAAATACATGCAATGCAGTTACTTTGCAGTTAGTATGCAGTTACTTTACATGCAATGCACTTGTTATTTTGAAAAAAATTATCTCCTTTAAATAAGCGTTCTTAATTATATGACCACAACTATATACAGCACGTGATTTAGATAAATATTTGAAAACATTGTCTTTTATAGGTAAATCTATTAACACTTCTTAATTGTCATCACCTGTCAGTTGTGGTTTCCATTTCGAGGTTATACCCAACTGGTCATGGCTGTACCAGATGTACCCAGTCAATATGGTGTCTTCATAAGTAATTACCGGCTATCTAATTTTATAGAAAAACCTATTGTAATTTAATTATTCAACTTGGGATCACTTATTTATTAAACATACGAATATAATTTTATATTAAGCAAAAACTAGGTTTTGCCCGCACATTCCTCCGCGTGGAATAACGCTAAATTTTACCCGCGACTTCATTTACGTAGAAGGTGAAAATATTTTCGAATAATAGAATGTTAAGGAGCTATTAAAAGTTAAGGTACCAAAGTTACGCTTTTTAACCGATTTTAAAAGAGGAGGTTAATTCGACCACCATTTTTTTAATCTATGTATGTTTACCGATTTCTCGAGAATGCTTGAACCGATTCTGATATTTTTTTCCTTTTTTTTTTCGAATTGATAAACTGCTCGAATGATCTTGTAATCATCAGAATCAGGATCTGATGATGGAATCCTGGAGAAATCGAGAAAAATCTACAATTTTCAAAGCCTATCTTGAAGTGATCTGGGTGTTTCTTGTTATTCTTCTTACTCGGTGCCTCATTCTACATCATTCTTTCACGCTTGATCATTATTTTGCTGCGTTGTTATTTTAAAACTGCGATACCTTCTAAGATACTCATTGGAATCAAATGATGTAAAGGGCAAATTTCTTTTAAATTAAATACTTGTAATGAATAACGTATTTATTTGGATAAGGATTAATGTAATCTTTATAAAAACACCTTCACAAATAATGCTTATTTTAGAACTTCTCATCATAGCTATATCTCGGGTTTGGACGACGGGAAAACGCAAAGCCAGCTTTCCAAGCACCGGTCGCCGTTCTTGTCGAACTCGTCGGATATGACGAAAGAGTTCGACGTGCAACCTAGCCCAAATTCACTGAGTTTCTCGCCGGATCTTCTCAGTGTGTTCAGTGTTGTTCCGATCCGATGGTAGAGTCAGGAAGGTGCGCTTGCCCGGGCCACAAGTCCTCCCAGATTGAGCCCCGTGAGATCACCTATAAAACTGCGTGTAGCCAAAATAGCCCCTTTGGCTATCGGCGATTAGGAAGGAAAAAAAGCTACTAAAGGCAATTAAAAATAGTGCGCTGGTTGAATGTTCTTAAATAAGTACATTACTACAATCAATGAAGATGAGGTATTGTTATGATATTTTTTCCAAATTTTAAACTTTAAATGGCTCTAAATACCTGTCGATATAGTATATTAGAGTTCAAAGACACACATGAAACATTATTTACACAGAAGATTCAAAAGCACAAAAAGAATTTTATTACTGGTGGTAGGACCTCTTGTGAGTCCGCACGGTTAGGTACCACCACCCTGCCTATTTCTGCCGTGAAGCAGTAATGCGTTTCGGTTTGAAGGGTGGGGCAGCTGTTGTAACTATACCGAGACCTTAGAATTTATATCTCAAGGTGGGTGGCGCATTTACGTTGTAGATATCTATGGGCTCCAGTAACTACTTAACACCAGGTGGGCTGTGAGTTCGTCCTCCCATGTAAGCAATAAAAAAAACATATAGAATATTCTTCAAGTATATCTATTTAATTATGTAAGTATATTCAAGTATAGGGCGTTTAAATGTATGCACATAATTAGGGGCAATGCGAAAATACCCAACGAAATTGACTCTCTTGTTACAAACGTGAAAATAGCACGGAAACTATGTATATTTCTTAAAATCTAGCCAATTAGACGGTCGTGATTAAATTAACTTCCTAATATATGCACCTACGCGACAAGGGAACGCGCACACTCGCAAATTAGCGGCTTATTACAGAGGCGCGGC